TAGTATTAGGGAAACCAATAGTGGTAGGTCAATGATAATTGGCATCCAGGTGTAGAAGCATTAATACGTCTCATTTCCATAGAGGATATTTGGTCCTTACCCCTCAGTCATATGCATGATCTATTGACTTTGAAACTTTACTTAGTTTACATGAATTAGTTTGTGATTATTATGATGTCATTAATTTCCAGTAATCTTAAGTTGAAGCTATTTGGTATGCAAAGGTATTGGTATTTAAAAGTTTCATTTTCATGGATATTATATAACCCCACCCCCTCATTATCATGATTATGGTTCATTGACTTAGAAACTGAATTTGTGTTAAGGTTTGTTTAAAGGGAAAGACTTTTGAAAAGTTAATGGTATTTGGTAAGCAGTTGTATAAGCATTGGCACATCTCATTTCCATGGAGATTGATCAGCCCTGTACCATCAGTCATGGTTTATTGTCTTTGAATATCACTTACATGTTTAAGTATTTCTATTTTGATTGTAACATTTGCATTATCAAAAAAAAACAAATAGGCAAAACATGCCTCTGTGTTAACAGCTCATTATAGATTAGACATGTACAATTATCATAAAAATAAGAAGATGTGGTATGATTGCCAATGAGACAACTATCCATCAAAATTCAAATGAAGTGGATGTAAGCAATTATAGGCAACCGTACAGCCTTCAAAAATATATGTTGCATCGTTGCTAGGCCATTATAACAACATCAGCATTTATTGTAATATAATATACAAGAAAATTACACCACTTCAGATAGTTTCAGGTATGATTTGATAATTGTGGATAGTGGCACCAGCTGATCCATCCAAAACCGCTAATATGGCATATTCATACTCTAGTACACCACTATAGTACACCACTGTTGGACACCATTATTGAAATTATTATTCTGATAAGAAATTTAGAATATTCCTCCATGCAGTCCGCAACAATTAGCAAAACCTATACTGCATAGTAAGCTATAAATTTCATGACAATAACTTGTGTGTAAGTGTATGGATCTTTCTGAAATTGAACAAGGTTTCATATCACAAAGGGAAAGCTGGAATTGAGTTTGGGGGTAATTGCACGAAACGTTTAGGAATAAGGGGCCAAAAAGGGGCCAAAAATAAGCATTTTTCTAGTTTCCAGACAATAACTTGTGTTCAATTGTATTGATCTCTCTGAAATTGTACTGCAAGGTACCATACCACAAAGGGAAGGCTGGGATTGATTTTGGGGGTAATTGCCTCAAAATTTTAGGAATTAAGGGCCAAAAAGGGGCAAAAACAAGCATTTTTCTAGTTTCAGGACAATAACTTGTGTTCAATTGTATGGATCTCTCTGAAATTGTACTACAAGGTTCCATATTACAAAGGGAAAGCTGGAATTGAGTTTGGGGGTAATTGCCCAAAACGTTTAGGAATTTGGGGCCAAAAAGGGTCCAAAAATAAGCATTTTTCTAGTTTCCAGACAATAACTTGTATTCAATTGTATGGAACTCTCTGAAATTGTACTGCAAGGTACCATACCACAAAGGAAAGGCTGGGATTGATTTTGGGGGTAATTGCCTCAAAATTTTAGGAACTAGGGGCCAAAAAGGGGCAAAAAACAAGCATTTTTCTAGTTTCACAACAATAACTTGTGTGTAAGTGTATGAATCTTTCTGAAATTGTACTCCAAGGTTCCATATCACTAAGGGATAGCTGGGTTTGAGTTTGGGGGTAATTGCCTTAAACGTTTAGGAATTTGGGGCCAAAAAGGGGCCAAAAAACAAGCATTATTCTAGTTTCCAGACAATAACTTGTGTTCAAGTGTATGGATCTCTCTGAAATTGTACTGCAAGGTACCGTACCACAAAGGGAAGGCTGGGATTGAGTTTGGGGGTGATGAATCATAAGGGGTTCAAAAAATTGGGGGGGGGGGGGGTTATTTTTTCCTTTTTTTCTTTAAAATTTTCCATTTTATATTGGTTATTTCTGATTTATATATAAAAGCAAATAATAATGATATGGTTTGAATAGGTGAATTAAAATTTTTAAAGTTCTTGGACCACATTCATTCTGTGTCAGAAACCTGTGCTGTGTCAAATATTTAATCACAATCCAAATTCAGTGCTGTATCAAGGTTGAATGTTGTGTCCATACTTGCCCCAACTGTTCAGGGTTCGACCTCTGCGGTCGTATCAAGCTGCACCCAGCGGAGCATTTCATTAATTAACTGCCTATAGCGCCGTTGGTGCTTTGATTGTTACGATTTGCGGAAACATTCCACATCCTTTCCGAGTTGAATTTTCAATTTATTATCATTCCGTCGACAAAAAAAAAACAACAAAAAACATAATGTCTGAATATTCGTCCCAAGTACTTTATGTTTGCTAGATAAATAGAACTGGATTAGTATAGATTAAGTTCCTGGACTAGAAAGTTATAAATCTCAACAATATAATTGACAAAACAATTCGTCGTGACTTAGAAGAGGCAAGTACAAATGACTGAAATGTGATTTCCTGTACCTACAATGTATTTAACAGTAAATTTCTTGCTTTTGTTTTAATCGAAGAATGTGTATCATATAATAAAAGGTTTATAAACTGGCTGTTTCTGAATCGGCCCTTTATAGATTCATGATCATATGTATTGGCCCTCAACCCTTTGAGTCTTGGGGCCAATAAGCTAATATAACCTTGAATCTATAACGGGGTTAATACACAAACAGGCAGTATTGAAGTATTGAGAAATTTATAGGGAGCCTGAAGAGGTGTTGAAATATTCATGGCTTTTGGAAGGGGGTCTTGAATCAATTTTCTTTGAAGGTGTGGAACTTGAAAAAAAATAAGAAAATTCCAATTTTTCCTTACAGGCCAAGCCCCCCCCCCCCCCCCTCCCCAATGAAATAAAATGATCATTCACTTAGATCATAAGTATATTAATCAATATTTAGTAAACCCTGACCTTTTTTTCTCTCATGTGCAGTCTTCGCTTAACCACAGGCCCACCAGCCCAGGCTTGTAAAACTTCTGTCGGGCCTGTAAAAATCATCTCCACAGGCCAATAAAATCCAACTAAAATTTTGTTAAACTTCAGCTTCGGGTCCTTAGTTTCAAAAGTCTATTGTGAAGACTGCATGTGTCGAAAGTCGCAGAATGCAAGACAAAGGGATTACAATCCAACGGCAGCGACGGCATAAACTATTTGTATATAAAGCTTTATATTTCAGAAAGTAGAAGACCTGAATGCTTCATAACTTGTATGCAAATGCCATATATTCTTATATTAAATTACGAAGTTTCCTGTCTGTCATATACCTATTGCCATTTTCATGGTTAAGCAACTGCTTAGATATTTTTAGTCACCTATCGACGAAGTTCAGGTTTGCACTCCGTCCGTCTGTCTGTCTGTCTATCCTTCAGTCCGGCAAATCAGTTTTCCACACTTTTCCCTTCGTGATTGAAGACATTGATTTGATATTTGGTGTATCGTTTTATCATGACCAGTTACAGATCAAATTTTATTTTTGTTCTTGTCTGATGATTTTGTGCAGATATAAGTTCCTTGGATTTAGAAAATTCGGACAAGTAATCAGTTTTCCGCATTTTTTTTCAATTAAAATATTGATTTGGTATATGTATTTGGTATATAGTTTTACAACGGCAAGTTACAGATCGAGTTTGAATTTTGTTAACACCAGAACAAGTTATAGATCAAGTTAGTTGTTCTCAGATACTATAAGCAATAGGTCAACTATATTTGGTGTTTGGAATGACTGAAAGGTGTACAGGTTTGACTGACATTTCATCTGAACTTGACCTCATCTTCAAGGTCCATTTGTCAATGTTTAGTTTTTGTGGTTTGGTCTGTTTCTCAGATACTATAAGCAAAATATTAGCTGTATGTGGTGTATGAAATGAATGTAAGGTGTACATGTCTGTCTGACTGGTTTCATCTGACCTTGTTCTATTTTTTGGATTCATTGGACAATGTTTTAAGTTTTTCCTTTTTGGGCTCTATCTATGATACTATAAGTCATAGGTCCTCTATATTTGGTATATATCATGGAATGATTGTTAGGCAGACATATCTGTCTGGTATATTTTCATGGTTTTGTCCATTTATTAAATACTGTAAGCCATTGGTCAATTATATTCGTTGTAAGGAATGATTGTAAGGTGTACATAAAAATAAAAATGAGAATGGAAATGGGGAATGTGTCAAAGAGACAACAAACCGACCAAAGAGTCTGGTAAGGTTCATCAGACCTTGACCTCATTTCATGGTTCATTAATTTAGTCAATGTTCAACTTAACTAAACTTGCATTTTTCTTTCTCTAAATATAAATACCCCAAAAAATAGAAACAACGGTCGTCTTTTCCCTCAGAGCTCTCAAGCTCTTTTATTAGTGTTTGGTACAGGTTGGCTGTTACTGTGCAACACAGTTTAACACAGAACCCTACGGGAAAAAACAGAGAACTCTACTTGTCAGAAAACACTGCGAAACATTGCAAACATACTATTCACACTCATCCGTGTCCACACTTGTACAGATATGAATATATTATACTAGGATAAATATGACCAAGGACTGTTCAACTGTCATAAATAAGCATATTACTTTGATAAACGTCTAAAGCAATATTTTTACACATTACATATTTCGGAATGCATGATATGAGTTTCGGGAATAACCTTCATCGGGAACGCTCGAGAACCATAATACATGAAATATCCGATTACGTCAAAATCAAATGGCAAAAACATAACAATCAAAAACCATTTATGGCTAATATTGGTGATGTTTGATGCTACTTCATTATTTGAAAATTTACAACGTAATTCAAATAAACTAATTGCTCTATGCCAATGCAAATCACTTGCTAATTAACAATGGTACCTTCGGTTATACTTACCGGCATTATATAAAAACCAGTAGCGGTAGAGATCACATAGTATTTATTATTCTGTGTCTTGTTATTTTTGTGACCTAATACGAATATTTGAACATATATAATGATTAAACTTGATTTATTTGTTACTTTGCCATGGTCTTAGTTCGATAAGTTCTTTTTGAAATGGGTTTCTTATTTTTCCTCATACATGTATTTGCTAGAATTTAAGTACTTATTGAATAATGAACTGTATATGCAAAGTTTCTTGAATGGTAACGCCCAATTTCATCGAAGTCACCATCCTTTAGCTGGTGTCCACATGTCAGTAATCTTGTTCCCAGAATGCACATAGAAACCAGTGTGTTGACATGCTGTGGCACATGACTACAATATAATACACATAAAATAAAATATGCTGACGTGTGGGGCATGACTACAATAGAATGTACGTAAAATAAATTATGCTGACACGCATTGACACAGAATTACAACAAAATGTATATAAAATAAAGTATACTGCCATTCTGTGGCATATATGACGTCAACAAAATGTTCGTAAATAAAATATGCAGACATACTAATCACATGCTTTAAAAGGGGTTGTACATACAAAAAATTGTGACATCACCTAATACGACTCATCTTCGGATTTGGATTTGCACGAATAACACGACGGGTGCTACATGTGGAGCAAGAACTGCTTACCAATCCAGAGCACATGAATTCACCCCCGATTTTCGGGGGGTTCGTGTTGCTCAATCTTTACTTTTTCTATGCAATGTTTTTCATTGTTCCTTGTTTTTTCGTCCTTTTTCATTTTTTGTTCATGTACATGGTGTTGTCTGTTTTATTGGAATTATGATTCTTGATTGCCCCCTTGGTATCTTGTCTCTCTTTAACATATGACAGTTCTTTTTCCATGTCAGATTTTGTTTTTGTAACAACTAGAGCAGATATAGTTACACATCACAATTATCGAAAGACCATTTTATGAAATAGTAAAACATATTATTTGGTGATGAAGCATACAGAGCAGATAAATCTAAACCTTCAACTGACCATCAATGCAACATTTCTTATCAAAGATTAAAAAAAATACAATACTTTATAAATTTCATGCTTTCCTGGATTTAACTTTATCAGGAATGCTCAACGACGAATATTTGAAGCCAATGATGTTAAAAAACCGAAAATAGTTTAAGAGCTATCTGACTTAAATGGGGTTTTGTACACCCTAGAAACGGTTAATACCGCTTCTAACCAAAGCTTTGTCACATTTCCTTAACTTTGTTAGAGCACTAGTCAGTAGACCTAGAAGTAGAAAATTTAACGGACACAGATAAGAATCGAAATTTGTAAGGTTTCTTGTATAATTTGGGAAGCCATTGGATATTGCAATCTAATTGAAATATAGATTTCTGATTTCGTTATCCTCATATGAGGATAGATATATAATACGAGCACGCTAGTTGTAATAGATCTGAATTTTATTCAGATTGTGCATAGTTAGAATTTTGTGTTGTTCAGTGACAGCCTTTCTGTTCAGTGGTTGTTGAAACATGTTCATATGTTATTTTTTTCGGTAGATTTTTTAAGTATTTGTAAAAAACGCACTGTAATTTGTGATATGTGTTTTTGAATATTTTAGTAAAGTAGTCACGTCAAACAACGAAAACTTTGTTAGCTGCTATGTCAGCGGTTACAAACACAGATAGCTTTTCGAGAATACTCAATAACTGTTTTTGAGTATGTCGGTTATTCAGATTTGTGATTTAAGAGTCCATTATAACTATGTCGTAACTTACATGCCATGGAAAGATAAATAACTGTGATCCAATAGGATATTTATCATAATTCAGTTTATCGCCGGATTTTGTAGTTACTTTGCCAATTTCTTGGGAAAATCCAATTACTCTGAAATATTTTTAAAAATCTGTTTTTCAAGATTTGAGTTCTTAATGAATAAGTATAAAAGATTGAGAAGTCATTTTGAATTCTCTATACGACAGTTTAAATTCAGCTTAAACCATGGATTTACAACCATCATTGTAATGTATAATGTCGATAATTTCTATAGGACACAAAACCCTAGAATACAATGAAGAAGTAGAAAAGACTGAAGGATGCTATTTGATATGATACTTTTGGATTTTCGAATTCAAGGGACCAAACAAGTGACCTTTTCATAATTTCTATGTCTGCAGAATTTCAGTGGAGTAAAGAAATTAGCTTAAAGATTTTATTCGTGTTTTAAACTAAACATTGGGTTAAGCAAATACATAATGATCCCCACCAAAGATTACAAGACTCTAGTATTTCACAAGAACAGAAAAGTTGCAACAATTATCAATAGGTCATTAAAAGCAAAATAGAAAATGCCTTCAAAGACTTTTTAGGTCAATTCTTATACTTTTTGCGTTATAAATATAATCCCCACCTAGATACTACTCAATATTACAGTGCACCTGTAGTAACACAGATAACTACTCAAGATGACAGTGCACCTATAGTAACACAGACACTTACTCCATATGACAGTGCACCTGTAGTAAAACAGACAACTACTCAAGATGACAGTTCACCTGTAGTAACACAGACAACTACTCAATATGACAGTGCACCTGTAGTAACACACAGACAATGTACTTACTTTAAATCAGGATGGTCCAGAAAAGTCGAAAATTCATCTGGATGTTCCGCCATTCCGTCATAACTAAGAGCCAAGAATCCACAATCTATCAAGAAGACATTATGGCTTGGTTTATGTCCAATAATTCGTGTGGTCAAACGACAAGCTATCTCATCTCTGCTACAACTACCAATGGTGGCTTGTTGCATATCTAAAACAATTAATTTATGAATAACATGTTCGCAAAGATTTCCTTATATGTACACCAGTCATACTGTAAGTTTGGGTACATGTACGCCAGTCACACTGTTAGTTTGGGTATATGTACGCCAGTAACACTGTTAGTTTGGGTATATGTACGCCAGTCACACTGTTAGTTTGGGTATATGTACGCTAGTTTGAGTACATGTACGCCAGTCACACTGTTAGTTTGGGTATATGTACGCCAGTCACACTGTTAGTTTGGGTATATGTACGCCAGCCACACTGTTATTTGGGTATATGTACGCCAGCCACACTGTCATTTTGGGTATATGTACGCCAGTCACACTGTTAGCGTGGGTATATGTACACCAGTCACACTGTTAGTTTGGGTATATGTACGTCAGTCACAGTGTCATTTTGGGTATATGTACGCCAGTCACACTGTTAGTTTGGGTATATGTACGCCAGTCACACTGTTAGTTTGGGTATATGTACGCCAGTCACACTGTTAGTTTTTGGGTATATGTACGCCGATCACACTGTTAGTTTGGGTATATGTACGCCAGTCACACTGTTAGTTTGGGTATATGTACGTCAGTCACACTGTTAGTTTGGGTATATGTACACCAGTCATACTGTAAGTTTGGGTATATGTACGCCAGTCAGTCACACTGTTAGTTTGGGTATATGTACACCAGTCACACTGTTAGTTTGGGTATATGTACGCCAGTCACACTGTTAGTCTGGTTATATGTACGTCAGCCACACTGTTAGTTTGGGTATATGTACGCCAGCCACACTGTCATTTTGCCAGTCACACTGTTAGTTTGGGTATATGTACGCCAGTCACACTGTTAGTTTGGGTATATGTACGCCAGCCAAACTGTCATTTTGGGTATATGTACGCCAGTCACACTGTTAGTTTGGGTATATGTACACCAGCCACATTGTCATTTTGGGTATATGTACGCCAGTCACACTGTTAGTTTGGTATATGTACGCCAGTCACACTGTTAGTTTGAGTATATGTACGCCAGTCTCACTGTGAGTTTGAGTATATGTACGCCAGTCACACTGTGAGTTTGACATAAGATAAAGGATATAAATCATAAATAAATTAACGTAAACGAAGAATAAAACAAACCAAACTTATTTAGGGGCCAGCCGAGGACCACCCCCGGGTGCGGCATTTTCTAGCTGCGTTGAAGACCCATTGGTGGACTTCGGCTGTTATCTGCTCTTTGGCCGGGATTTTGTCTCTATGACATATTCCCCATTTCCATTCTCAATTTTATTTTGGACTTCTGTTCTAATGAATAGAGTGATTAACAACAGCAATTGACAATGGCAAACATATGTTCTGACTGTAACTTTAGTTAACTAAGAATTGAATGCTTCTTTTTGTAATTTTATTGGGAAATGTAAATGCGTTGACTGCAGCATATTTCGTATGTAGCGCTTCCGCGCTTCATAAGAGAAATATTTGCACGTTGAATGCTTTTACAGACCTATATAAAACAAAGAACATTCAATTCTGATAACTACATTTTTATGGTTTACAACCATGAAATGACGAGATAAATTAAGCCTTTTGACAGTTTTTTATATTCATTAATTTAACGTCGTCACGGAGAGCACGTGAAGTCATATGGATTGCATTTTATACGGAAATAAAACATAATTTTAGGATGCCTGACCAATAAAAATTATTGAATCCCTGATGTCTTCTATTATATGTAATAATATAACAATAACATGAATATAGCAAATATAAATGAATGCTAAACGATCTTTTAGCAAATGTCTTTAGCAGCTCTTTGAATATATTGAAACTTTTATATTGGGTGATAATACTGGTTAACAATGCTTGCTAATTTATCTTTTAATAAAGTTTGTGGTTGTTGCTATAAAATAGGTATATGTGGCTATATGTTCACTGAAAAAAGGGAATTAATAAAAACAAAACTAAAACATAAAAAAAAAACATTAAATATTTAAAACTAAAACGAACCATAGAATATATAATTTCCCGGATGGAATTCAGTCAGAACATTCATACTTTCATGTGGACGTGAACAACTTGGTGTATTACCAATGGCTAATGTTCGGCAGTCTATATTGTTGTCAGTAAACCTACAACCATTACAAAATTGTAAAAGCAAATAATTACAAGTGCAAATTATTACAAACATCGTCATGTTGTAAGCATTTTATCCCTTGACATCATTGATGTGAACCCAGGAGATGAACAAATTATTACAAACATCGTCATGTTGTAAGCATTCTATCCCTTGCCATCATTGATGTAAACCCAGGAGATGAACAAATTATTATGTAAATGAAAAGAATAATAAAGTTCACATATTAAAGGGAAACTATTTGAACATTTCACATACATAACCTTTATCCGACCATTTGTTGTTACTAAATGCGTTGATAGTATACATCACATCGTCTTATTTTAATGGGGAAAAAAGATGACGAATTTTAATATTATACCTTTTATGCAGAGTTTGCAGTAGATCAGTTCCTTCTTTATTTGCGTTTTCGATTCCCCTCGTGCCTTTTGCTTCATACGTTCTACCATTGAACAAATACAATCCTTGGAAGTCTATATAAGGAGATTCGGAAGCTTCTTTGGCAAGTTTAATAACGTCATCACTTTCCCATGGTACACCACCTAACAAAATAAGAATAAATCATTAAAAAAAAATCAATTTAGCACTTTTATAAAAGTTGTGAATGTAGTATCTTTTATGATATTTTATTTTAACAGAAACAACAAAATATCTTCTATCATTAAAAGGACAACAACCATAAAAGACAAGAAGCACCGACAATTTTCGTGAGTTGGGTAAGGTACAGATAAGTGTTCACACTAGTTTTTTGAATACTCAATCCTTGGCGTATTTTTAATAAAGTTTTGATGCTAAAAGGAATTGGAACTACCACAACAGATATATGGTCACCCAAATTTTACGAAAAACTATTTTCATTTTTTTTTAAATCTGGAGTGTGAAATACTCTATGGATGTGTTACGATCCTTTAACTACCATTTTTTTTTAATATATAAGAAATAAAAATTTCCCCTTTTTTTTCTCTTTGTTTTTTAGTTAAGTTAGAAGGGATTCTAAAAATTAAAAACTTTAGGATCGTTTCATACGAAAATGTGGTTTATATCGTGCTTTAAAAGCAGTTTGGGTCAATTTTTTTTAAGCAAAATTTTGTGCAAAATTGTATGATTGTGTGTGGATTATACACGGAAAGAGCGATTTTGTGTGACATAAAGAAAGAATTTAAAATAAAAACTTCAAAAGATGTACTTTCCGAAAATGAAAAAATTGATAAAATTTTGTTTCAACATACTCGTTTTCCTGTTACATAACATAAAATGTAAATTTGATGTTCATTCCTCTAAAAGAAATGAACTATCTGAGTTATGTACCCTGTAACAAAAGTTTAAATTCTCAATCAATGAAAACATTTTCTTTGTTTTTGTCAAAAAGGAAGTTATCATAAGATAAGATTGTAAGAATTTCTTCATTTGAATGAGAAGTCGCACAAATAACCTTCATTTCGTTAAAAATATGTACACCGATGATTTGAAGCTATTTGCAATCGAAAGTTAATTTAGACCACATCTACCTTAACTTTGAGTTTTCGGACTTTTCTGTTTCGAATTGTACTGGGTTTTTTTTTAATGATTATAGTAAATAAAGACGTACTTCTTCCACTGCCGTCGTCGATCTCGAGATATATAGACCATTTCTTGCCGTTCTTTAACGGACAACTCAACAAAGCTATCAATCCATGGGAACTTTCTATCATCACATGGAAAGCTTTTAATCTGTAAGCTAAACTTTTGCACCTGAAAAGATGTATCATAACTTAATAACGTCATATAAAATATTTGAAGGAATATAATATCAATAATCTTAATTTCTTTTCATGATGAATTTGAAAAAATAATATTTAAATGATACTTGTGTAAATTAGAGATACTTATGTAAATTAGAGATACTTATGTAAATTAGACATACTTATGTAAATTAGAGATACTTGTTGTAAATTAGAGATACTTATGTAAATTAGACACTTATGTAAATTAGAGATACTTATGTAAATTAGAGATACTTATGTAAATTAGAGATACTTATGTAATGCTTCAGTACAAACAGAAAAACAAACATAAGAAGCATTTTTAATAAAAATTTAGAAATGAGGAAAAGATAAACATTTTACAAATAATTCATCTACCACAGAATTCTGAAAAAAAAATGCAAAGTCAAAAATGCTTTTATCACTAGATGTTCTTTTTGATTTTATGGTTTATGTTATCTCATTTGTGTATATCCTACATTTCTTTCCTTTAATGCATGCTGATACTATAACAAACCTTTCAATTCGTGCAGCTATCAGTGGATGAGCATATAGAATATCATCAAACCCATTTCTTGCATAAAATTCAGCTTCTTCTAAAGTTGACACTTCTATCGTTCTATTTGTTCCGTTGGTCATTAAGGTACCGAGCTCTCTGTAACAAAGCATGGTTTATTCAATGTTAAGAAGGGAATTTGTATGTAATTCCTTTTTGGTCATAACTATATATCAGTACATTGTAAATATTGTTACCATCTTTGAATTTTGGACATTTTTTTAATCCAACTATGACTGTTTGAATTTGGAAAAAAAATCACTGATCTAACAAACTAAAGGAGGAGGTACTTTTTTCTAAAAAATAGAATAAATTTCAGGAACACTTTGGATAAATAAAATGGAACGTAAGGATTATCCAAATGGTTTATTGAGACCAAATAGATGAACACAAGATACATTTACTGCATGTGAATATCAGTTTGGTGGCAGTTGTGCTCTATATTATTTCATTTCATTTGATGGCAGTTCAACTCATGAAAAGGAAAAGTTTAACCAATTCGAAAGGATTGATGGCTATTACTATTTTGCAAATTTAGGAACAATTATTTTTTTGTTTTAAACAACGAGCAGAGCTCTTGGGAATATAGTGGTGTGTAGGATTGATACGGTTGTGATATTGAAAAATCATCATAATATTCTCTACTAATAAAAAGCTGCACAAAGTAGTGATACAGGCAGAGGGAAGATCGATAATCTAAATTAGTATGCTGCATTCAAATAATTATATAGTTTCTTTGTTAAAGTTTTTGACCCAACTTGTAGCAAAACAATTTTGTCATTTACAATAGTATTTTGGACAAGCAATGGAAGACAAAATTCAAACATAAAATTACTGGTATCTCATAAACAAATGTCTTCTGAACATCTGAAGGATGTTACTTGATAGCAAAAAATATAAATTTTGTGGTTTTTTTCAAATTTCGTACCTTTTTTGTCCTTATAAAATTTAAAAAAGAAGATAATTGATCTTTTAATTTACAAATGTGGAAAGAAGATAATTTGTATATGTTGCTACGCCAGTTTATGATACAAACACAGTTTTATGCGTCTTCATGTGTGGCCGTAACTGAACTCCAAGTCTCTCACAAGTATCTATCATCTTCTGAGCATTCTTCTTAACTTTGTCAAAGTCTACTAAGAAACTTGGTGTCGGAACATCGGAAATTGTCGCTGGCATTTTCTTGCGCTCCAATATTTCTAAAGGAGAAGGTAAGTAAACAGCCATTTTTACCCTGCAATTGCAAATTATGTTAGATCTGATTATTTTGAAAAAATGAACCACTTGCATTAATCTGGAAACACGAGTGCAGAAAAGTAACTTGTTGTGGCACTATAACGTCATAAACGTGTCAAAACTTACATATTTAAGAATTCAATGCTTCTTTTTGTAATTTGGTTGTGCACCGGTGCAGTCAAATATTTAGTTTGTATTCCCATACATTGTTGTGACGTTGTCATGGGAAGCACGTGGTGTCCTGAATTTTACATTTTATTGGGAAATAGGGTCTACTGTTGGAATTCCTCGCGATTATTGCCAGCCAATAAAAAGAAGGTATTCTTGAGAAACATATATGTATTGTAATTATTTTACCTTAAATGACAATTTCACAAGTTTTTGGTTATAAATATACGTGAGGAAGAGGTTTACCCAAAAAGATATCTTGCACACATAAACATCTTTGTAGGAGGACGTTTTCTGAAGGAATCATCATTTTCAGGTTTTGTCAGTTTGGCTTATTTTTTTGCGGGGCTTATGCAAAAAAAAATATTTTCCCTTTGATAACTTTATTCCCTGCATCAAAACCAATTTTTTAGCCCAACCTTTCTATACAAAGCACGTGCAAAGCAAATACACATGCAGAGAGGTAACCAAAAGGACAAAATGGGAATAAATGTTTTACAGTTATTACATAATACATTTCAGTTAAACCGGGAGATTATATAAGACACTTGCTTTGACATCTGTCGATTGTTAAGGACTGTATGTTTACATCTAACATGTCTTTTGATTATTTTTCGCTTGGGTTGTTGTCTAAGTGACGTATACCCTACACCCTTCTTTTGTTTATTTAAATCATGTTACAGCTCAAAGCAAGGTGTGAGCTTTAAGATCGTCACTTTTGTTGCCGAGACGCTCGAGACCAAAAGTGTTATTGACAAAAACAGTATGTAATCAGAAAACAGATCGTTTGAAGTTTCATATACAGACATCACACGTCTGTTCTTAATCATTATAACGTTTCTTCTGAAGTTTTGATCTGAACATTAATAAGACTAAGCAGGAGATGGATTAATATAAAAATACATGTTAACACATTAATAAAAACTTTTCTGTATTCAACACAATATCAGTAAGATTACTGTCATTTACACAACGTCGATTTAACAATTAATTTACATGTATGCATACATATATATTGGCTTACCTGTCATTAAAGGTATTATTTATCATTGTGAGATTTACAACGACACAGCTGGTATAGAAGTATGAGTTCACATAATTATGTATTTAAGATAAATGAATTAACTTATTTAACTGTTGCAAATTAATAATTGTCAAATCATGAAGAATGTTTATTTTTCTATTTCTTTGGGTTTTTTTGTTTGTTTTGTTTGAATGAATGAATGAATGAATGAATGAATGAAAAACTGAATGAAATTTTCAAGTTAGTTGTAAAATGCAAACGTTTACAGTCAAGATCGCATAAATTCAAATACTTTATTCAAATCTGACACGATCATTCACACTTTCATACCAACCGTTCTCCCTCCGCTCACTCTGATTATGTTAATTAGATACAGTACAGTAGAATATACATAAGAGTCATCCTATAAATATATACGCATAAAGCATGTTAGAATACCATCAAACAAAAACAAACACAGAAACAACCATAAGAAATATACGTACCAAAAATGTATTTATATACCTACACAATGAATACTCAACAATCTATTTTCAACACACACATATGTATATGTACTGGCAAGTTACCCCAAGTTATGTCGAGGACCATACAACTATTAGCGTAAATAATATGAAGATCATAAATATTATTTGACCGTTGTAAATTGAATAAGATTTATCTATAAGTAGAGTATTATGACATAATATTTGATTGGTCATTTAGACAACATACCTGTCTGTGTTGTAGTTTATAAAGAAACACAGGTCAGAGAAAAGTGATAAGAAAATATCAAGTAAACACAGTATATCTAAACAGAATTCAGGTTCATCATAACAAAAGGACAACAATGGCTACTCGGAGTATAGACTAACCTGTCCAGTTGGAAAAGTTTTAAGGTCTGACATCCACTAGATATATAAAAGTTAAATGCATTTTGTGTTTCAGAAAGATAACATCTTTTTTGGATTTTGATGGGCATTTTTGTTCGTTCCTTCAGTTGGTGTAAAAATAAACAAACACCTGAATTACATTTAATACAGTCCACACACTTACACCCGTTAAATCACCTATTGGTGTGTAGATATCTTTTGTCCAAGTCAATCAAGGACTATCAATACAATACAATGCAATTGTTACCTGAGAGGAAGCATCTGAAAGATTTAACCCAACTTAGTTTAACACCTTCTGCAGGAACAGAAAAAAAAAGCCCATCAAAATCCAAACGAGATTTTATCTTTCTGAAACACAAAATGCATTTAACTTTATATATCTAGTGGATGCCAGGCCTGAAAACTTTTCCAACTGGACAGGTTAGTCTGTACTCAGAGTAGTGTTTAAGGTATAAACACAGCCATTTTTGTCCATTTGTTAAGGTTCATCAATCTTTGGCTAATATGGCCGTATTTACACTGCACATTTTACTGTGAGTAAAGACAAACCTGTGCACCTGGAAAATTTTTAAGGCATGGCAGGAACTAGAATTTTTAAATTTTAAATGCACTTTATGTTTCAGAAAGTTATAAACTTTTCTGGATTTTGAGGTTTCTTTTTTTTTCGTTCCCACAGAAGGTGCCAAAATAAACTAAGTTTGGAAAAATGTTTGAGATGTTCCCCTATGTAAATAATTGTAGTGAGTTGTATTGATTAACTGGACAATAGTTGGGCAATAGATATCTGCACAACAATAGGTGATTTAAACTGTGGAAATGAGTGGAACATATCAAATTTAATGAAACTCGGGTGTTTGTTTATTTTATTACATTCTGCAGGCTAAAAAAAAAAGGAATCTCAAATTCCTGGTAAGTGTTTAATTTTCTGAAACATAAAGTGCATTCAAATTTTATTTACCTAGTTCCTGTCATGCCTTAAAACTTTCTTAGGTGCACAGGTTTGTCTGTATTCAGAGTAAATTTTCTGGTGTAAACACGGCCATATTTTTCAATTACTTATGATGAACCTTAAAGCTCACACCTAACACATTTCCTGTTCATATCCTCTTACAGTCTTCTTGTACACTATTGAGTGGGTCATATCTGATAGGCTGAAGACACTAGTGTCATGCCACGGACACATCAAATAATTATTTGAGATTTATTACCTTAGTCTTAGTCGGGGAATTATTCACAAATATGGGGATTCATTACCAAGTCTTAGTTGGGGCGTTCATCACACTAATTGGATATTCATTCATTAAATACAGTTTTAGTCGGGCTTTAATCATATGTAACCCGATAACAAGATTCTTATTATCAAATCACATTGTCTCCTACGGGACTCAAACCCGGGACCTCTATGTTACAAGTCAGCGCTCTAACCGACTGAGCCAAAGAAGTACTTCCCTAGGTATCACTCCACAGTTATTGGTTGCAGATAGCACTAAAGTGACAAGATTCAATTACAGATTATGTAGTTGTTTAAAAGGACTACCATAAGCACAACAACAAAACAAAAACAGTAATAACAAATGGTTGCAATTGTAAATTTGGACTCGTACCCGTTAGAAGTTTTTTCAGTCAGAGTAAAGCGTAATGTTTTTGATACATTCGATTTGCACTAATCTTCATTTGTCAAGGGCAAAACATTGGGGAACCAAAACAAAACAAAACAAAAACAAAAAAAAGCATAAACGATGTTTATGTCGGGTTGCTGTCTCATTGACATATATTCCAATTCTCGTTTTGTTTATATGCTTCCAGCTATGCAAGCCAAAGGACATACAAAGAATTTACCTAACGTATCGGTCAAATTTTTCTCGAAATTTGATCCAAGTTGTTCACTGGTGTATAGAAATATCATCACCTGGACTTGTCCCGTCCGGTGGTAATAGCATTAACGGCTTTAATTATATTGCACCTTTTAAATTAATGTGATGCCCGAGGTCAAAATATTTGAAATTCTAAACTGATGCAAACATTGAAGAGCTGACAAAAAAGGACTAAAGTAAAACACAGATAAGTAATCAGACCTATGCTTTAGGCGGCAGTAGTTTACAGATGTTCAATTAAGAAGAAATATATATACAGGTAACAAACAGAAATGGAGGAATCACATGAACTCTAAAAGGAGCGAGACGGGTGGGTCGATAGGGTAAGCGTCTCCAGCTATGCATGCATCACCCGCCATGTGAATGTCACATACAGGAACTTCTTAGGAAGAAGGAAAAGAAGTTAGCAGTATCCTTTAACTTTACTTTCCGCTATATAGATGATGTTCTCTCACTAAATAATTCAAAATTTGGTAACTATTTTGAACACATCTATCCCATCGAACTTGAGATAAAGAATACAACAGTTACAGTTAAGTCTGCATCATATCTTCACTTACATCTAGAAATTGACAATGAGGGTCGTTTGAAAACAAAACTTTACGACCAAAGAGATGATTTCAGCTTCCAAATTGTGAACTTTCCATTTCTATGTAGCAACATTCCAGCAGCGCCTACATACGAAGTATATATCTCCCAGTTGATACGATATTTCTTAGCTTGTATTTCCTATCATGATTTTCTTGATTGAGAGTTGCTGCTAAGTTTACCGTTATGGAATATCCGTTTCACAGATAATAGCGGATATGTTCCTAATGTCGCAACTACAATCCCGTTCCCTTTTCCGGAATGTGACCTACCGAATTAGACTTATTACCGGGTTTGTACTAACATGAGCAACACGACGGGTGCCACATGTGGAGCAGGATCTGCTTACCCTTCGGGAGCACCAGAGATCACCCCCAGTTTTTGATGGGGTTCGTGTTGCTCTGTCTTTAGTTTTCTATGTTGTGTTGTGTGTACTATTGTTTGTCTGTTTTTCTGTTAGTCTTTTTCTTTTTTAGCCATGGCGTTGTCAGTTTATTTTCGACGTATGAGTTTGAATGTCCCTCTGGTATCTTTCGCCTCTCTTTCACAATCGGGTAAAATTACAGATCAGGCAATTATACTGTTATCGAAAGTTCTAAGACCGCGAAAACATGTCGCTTTTGAGTTGAGACACTGACACATCGTATCGGTCAACCAATTCGTGATGGTGACCGTAAATTTTATGAAGTGTTGATTTCAGTCATTCTTCTTTAAAAATCTCCGAGGAGTTTTTGTGTAAGGCGCTCACTCTATTAATGAATTCCATATAGTGTGAACATGCACGAGAGTAATGTATTACCTGAAATATGTAAACGTCATTCGACGAAGCAGAAGGTATATATTACTGCTGAGAAATTGTAAGTTGACAATTGAAAAGGTAAAATCATCAAGTTTGTCATAGATTCTAGTTTAAAGTGGTTCATCTGAATCAATATAGAGGAAAAGATCTAGATATCAAGCAGTCTTTCGGTAGTATCCTTAATCTCAAGTTCACAAGGATATATGA